TGCTTCTAAATGACATATAGGTTAGAAAGAATTTCATAAAGACTGTGGATCACTTTGAATAAAGTTATGATTTTTATGTTTTGATTTTTTTGAGACAGGGTCTCACTCCGTAATCCAGCCTGCCCTTGAACTCACTATGTAGCCCAGGCTGGCCTTGAACTCACTGCAGTCCTCCTGCCTCAGCCTCCCGAGTGCTGGAGTATATGAGTGTGGCACCATACCTGGTAGAATTACGAGTTATAATAAAAACAATGTGTGGGGCTGGGGATTTAGCTCAGTGGCAAAAGCGCCTGCCTGGCAAGCGCAAGGTTGTGAGTTCGGTTCCCGGTACCGGAGAAAAACCAAAAAAAATAAAAATAAAAAAAATAAAAATAAAAACAATGTGTATCAGATTTTGTGGGGGTGCTGGCAAAGCAGTAGTTAGAGGAGAATTTTTAGCTCTGTATACATTTGTTTAAAAATTGACAGTACATTCAGAATTGTGGCTAGGGAGAATGGGATGGTACCCTGTAAGAGTGGTAGCCATGGTACGCAAACAGAGGTTAACAAACAAAGGACAGCTGGCCCACTTCCGGAGCCCATGATTCTAACTTTGCCCTGATAGAATTTATTACCGTCTTGAGTGGCAGCCACAAAAATGCGATCAATAAACTAAACCTTAATTTTCATTTCACAATACTAAAATAGTTTGTTTAAAATACATTATGATCTAGTATCTTCTTTCCATTATTAAAAAAAAAAAAACCACAGAAAACCGCAGTGCTCCACAAAGCAGGCCCAGCGTTCCCATGGTCGGCCCCTCCTGCCCTGGCCGGTGATCGAACCCAGAGCTTCACACCCGTTATGGAGCGCTTGACCTCTGAGCTGCCGCCGCAATCTCTAGCCCAAAACTGACACATTTCAGAACCAAAAGAAAAGCAGAGAAACCTAAAAGAGAAAAGGTACTAAAAATAATGCTGCGAAAAAACAAACCAAAACCACAGTTCCCTTTAATGCCAGAATAGCCTATGTAGGTGTGCAAAGCGCTGTAGTAAGTGTATAAGAAATCTATCCCCAATAATTTCTTCCGTTACTCATTTTCACTCGTTCCCAAAGGTAACACCAGGCCCTTGCTTTCCCAGTCTGTTTCTCATTTTGCTGGAGATAAAGCCTTCTCCACCCTCCACGGCCTGACACGCAGATATGCTCCCCGCACGCTTCCACTGCTGTCTGACCTGGGCCACGTCTCCCCTTTCTGTAGGCACCGACGGCGAGTCACCAGCGATTACAGACGTAGGTTTCTGCGAAAACAATTTTACTTTTTCTCTTTCTGCCTGAAGGAGTCACTGTACTCTTTCTAGAACAATTACTCTCCCCAATCCAACTTTTACAAAAGCGTAGGCAGACAGGGGCTCTTCGGTACATTAAAGAAATAAGGTGACAGATGCACTAAAGTCCGCTGTATACTTGGACACTGGAAACAGATTGCCGGGCTTCGTAACTGTCTGGCTTTTATACCATTATTGTAGTCGATGTTCTCTACTAATTTTTTTCCCCTTCAATATGGTAGGGGCTATACTTTCCCTTTAGGAATCTAAGCGTCGCTACGTGTGCATGAGCGTCCCTTCCGGACGCTGGGGCCGTCCTCCTGGGAGATTTTCCACGCAGGACGAGCTCGCCCGCGTCCGTGGGCACTCACCAAGGAGAAGGGGGAGGACGTGCGCTTGGGGAGCGGCCTGCTCTCGTGTCACGCATGGTTTACCCTGTAACCGGGGTTGTCATTCCTTCCTGTGCACCTGGCTGAGACTCACCATTCTTCTAGGGCTCTTTGTAGCTTTCACCCAAACACGATCTGGCCGTTGCTTCTCCTCGCTAAGTCGGGGGCAGACAGAGCAGTGTCCGGCCGGGGGTGGAGGACAACAAAACTGAAATCTTTTTAACATTGTCTAGTAATGATGAGACTGCAAAGCAAATGAAGGGAGATTGTATTTCCTTGCTAAAAAACTGCCTGAGCTATCTCCCCAGTAACGAAGACACTGATTTGTTCACCTATCTATCTAATGATAATAGATAGGCACTTTCCCAGGGAAATAGTAACCCTCCTGAGGACAGGAACTGGGTATAGCATCCAGCTCCTTGCTATTACTTTTGGAATCTCTTAGAAAGGGTTGTTAAAATAATGAAGCCAGGTTTGGGGGTGCATCCTTGTGATCCGGGAGGCTGAGGCAGGAGGATTGCTAAGAGTTTGAAGCCAGCCTGGGCTACTTAGTGAATTCAAGGCCAGCCGGAAATATAGAGTGAGGCTCTGTCTCAAAAAACAAAATCCACATCGTACTGTTCTCTATAAAGGTAAATCTAATTAAACAGGATATAAAGTTTATGGTAAGCTTTAACATGTTTATAACTCTTTAATTTCACAGGAAATTCATACCCTCCTTCATTTTCATGGAAGGAAATGAGTGTTTATTGTGCCTGCTGTGGATCCGGCTCTGTGCTAGACCCGACACTCTGTGGGAACTCAGAAATCATCATGTGACCTGACGGTCAGGGTTTTAGCACACAAAGGGATCTACTTCTACTACTACTGTCGGCTTGGTCATTTTGGGAATTCTTTTAACTTTCATACAGAGAACTAAGAAGAAACCCACTAATTAAGAATTTAATATTACTAATATAATGAGCTTCTTTCTTACAGGAAAATTTTATGGAATAAAGTTTTTAACTTTCAAATTTTCCAGACACTAAAGTAACCTTTTTCAATGGGGTTTGTTGGGGGGTGCTAGGGAAACCCAGGGCCTCCTGCACATTAGGCAAATGTATTACCCCTGAGCTACATCCCCAGTGCTATCCACAGAAGTTTTAAGTTTCAACTATATTTATTTATTTGTTTACTTTCAGTTTTTTGAGACAGGGTCTCACTATGTAGCCCAGGCTGGCCCCAAACTCGTGGTGATCCTCCTGCCTCAGCCTCCCTAGTGCGTGGGTTACGGGTGTGCACCACCACGCCCAGCTGTGTAATAAATGCTAGCTTTAAATTTTAATTTATGGCCCAGTGTAGTGGTGTATGCCTATAATCCCAGCATTCTGTGAGCAGGAGGATCGCAAGTTGGAACCCAGCCTGGGCAATTCTGTCACTTAGTGAGGTCCTGGCTTATTAATAAAACAAATAAAAAGTAATTCAGTAAATAAATAGAAAGAGCTGGGGATGTAGCTCAGTGTGAAAGTCTGGGTTCAACCCCTATTACTAAAAAAAAAAAGTTTTAATTTTTATGCAGGTACTGAGCTCTTAGGGGAGAGGTCAGTCCACTTCTCTCTGTAATACAGAATACACTTAGACTGCTATTTTGAAAACTCATATAAATTTTCTTTGTATAATTGCTTCTCAGACTTTTAGCAAAGACCAAGCATAAATTTTCTTTGTGCACTTGTTCTCATATATAAATTTTTATTTTTCTGGTTCTTACCTCAAAGTCATGTGTTAACTGATACCATTACACCTAATTGGAAGCTTTTTTCTACGGTGTCCTGAAGAACCCAAACATTGTAGTGGCTAGAAATTTAGAAACGGTTTTCCCAAGAACCAGGGATGCCCACATTCAATAGGAACTCAGTAACAACTACCTCCACTCAGAGGCCTCTCTGTCCTGCTGTGTTCTCAGCTATGTTTGAGAAAGTTGGAAGTGGCCAAATAAGTGACTTAGGGATCCGTGAGGCACTATTGTTCTAATTCTGTCAAGCATTAGATTAATCAAAGCCAAACGGTAGGTTAGTTTCTTTACGTTTTGCACTGTTAATTTTCTACAATTATCAACCAGCTACCGAAGTAATTATTAACCTTTCAATTCAAATAGTGTTTTTAGTTTAATACCTGAGCCAGTAGAGATCTTCCATTACAGGGCTCGATTTATAACACGTAAGTATTACTAATTTTGCTAACGTACCAAGCCTGAGCAAAATAAAGTGTTTCTGTGTGATTCGATCCATGTGCTAGTCAGTGAGGCGGGCGGGGATATGATTTATCAGAAGGACTGAACCAGAAACACACAGAGTGAAAAAGAGAGAGAGGAAAGAGAGACCACAAATTCTTGAAATTTGGAAGAAAAGCAAGAAATGGAAAGATTATAGATTAATAAATAAAGAAAAATAAGAAATAATTTACCAACTTTATGCTTAACCTTTAAGAGAATGTTGCGTTTCCAATTTAGTATTTAGTTTAGCTGCGTGTCAGCCCCTCCCCGCTGCCGGGAAGGTCCGAGGGAGTGTAACACCGCGTGTGTGGTGACGAGCAAGCTTCTGCTTGCTGGCTGGAGGCCAGGAGAGACCCCCACCCCTGGGAGAGCTGAACCTGAGCCGGAAATTGGCCACCACCAAGCCAAAGTCTTTGCAGTCGTGTATCTTGTCTTAAAGATTCATGCACATTTTGCGTCCTTCTGTTACAGACACTGTATCTGTAGTGTAAAATAATGTCCATAGCCGTTGAATTCTTTAACTCCTTTCCATTTCCAAAAATTCAAGCAAAACCGACACACCAGGGGGAGGGCGCGCATCACAGTTCTTGGGGCTTTTCCTTCCCTTTGACTGACATCAGTCAGTCAAGCACAGGCGAAATGACATCACACGGGGGCTCGGGGGCTCTCCAGTGAGCCCCGATACGTTAACAACCCGGGTATCGTGAAAGGAAAACTCCCGCTTGCGGGCACCTCGGCGAAGCTAGGAAATCCCAAGGAATGGTAAACCGGGTCCTGCAGTCTCAAAAAGCTCTCGTAGCTTTTGAGCTACCACTGTCATTAAAAGATCAATAATGATGCCTTCCTGCTCCAGTATGGAATTAGTGTTCCCCTAAATACATTAGCTAGTATTGAATTACGCAGGGGGATCCGCACCACGACAAAACACAGTCGTCCTTTGCAAGTGAGTGATTGTCACACTGGAGCGCGCTGGGGGCCACCGGTCAAAAGGCAAAGATGGCTGCACCGGAGGGAACAGAACAGGGCCCCCCGACGCCGGAAGCTGGCACTCACCCTCATCTTGGTAGTCTGCCAGCGAGGGGGCGTCTGATGTGAGAGGCGGGCCGTGAGTGCCGCTGAGATTGTCATCGGAACTGTCTTGTCCGCGATCTCCTGAGGGACAGGAAGGAAAACGAGCTCATGTTTTGGCCATCTTCACAGAGTTGCCTGCAGATTCCTCTGCCATTCACACACACACACACACACACACACACACACACACACACACACGATGTACCTTTTACTTAAACCGGGCCACTATTCATTAACCCATGAAACATGTAAGTTCGAGAACCAACTTACCTGGATGGAAATTTTTCCACTCAAGTAATTCTCCCAATAGAGCTAAAGCACTGTTACGTCAGAATGGGAAACCTCTGGCCATCAGAGAGAAATTTCTCCATCCTACTTAGAATGCAGGCCGCTATATAAATTTGTTCTCACATATATGCTGTCTCCGACTTTATCCCGAGCACCTCTTTCTCCCAATTTCCAAAGGAAACAGGAGGAATAGCACAAAGAGTTAATCCATACAAAAGCAATGTGCCAAGGTCAATATTCTTCCTTTCTTTGAAAAATAAGAGGCGTAAGTACCCACAGAGGGAACGCGGCCCTGGCTGGGCCCTATTCCTATTTAAATCACGCCTTGTTTTGCAAGCTTAATAAAGTTCTCTTCCTAATTCTAGTTTACAGCCTAGGCAAGCAACCTCTGAGGAATTCTAAAAGCACTAAGAAGGTAATATTTGCTCTGTAAAATGACTTTGATAAAAGGTAATGTATATACAATACCGAATTATGCAATTAAAATAATGCTAATCCCTTTTGGGTGTTTCCAGCCTACATTGAACGGTATTCCGGAGAAGTGGCCGGTGATACTCTGATACTTTAAAAGGTTCAGACGGAAGATGTTCTCTAATTCAGAAACCGGAAGCTCGGGAAAGTGCCGCAGATGGCTCTGCTCCGCGTCCCCCGAGCAGAGGTGCAGGCTGCTGGTAAAAGGGCACAACAGCTGTTTCGTGCTTCTCACACACGCGGGGAAGGGATTTCCAGCCGAACTGAATATTATCGCAGATCATCATTTCCCAAGGAAATCGCCGGCGCTAAGCTCAGTAAACACTGCGGAGTTTTGGCCCTGGCTTTCGACCAGGGAGCTGTGAAAGCGAACAGCCTACATAGAATCTCTACTGCCTCACTTTAGAGGTTTATTTCCTACAATTAAACCAGAAGGATAGGGAGGGCATAAAATGATAAAACAGAACGGCTGTGTCCTTCCCTGTTCATAAATTACACAATTTTATCCCGACTCGCCTTCGAGTGCCGGGTGGTAGGCAGAATCCAGAACTGAGTCAAACACCTGCAGGTTAGGGACTTTAGAAATAAACTGCAGAGTTTATTGTAAAAAAAAAAAAAAAAAGTGCTTTAAACCTCACATGACAGTCATAGCTAGCATTAGAAGAAATGCTGTCATTGATTAGTTCACCGATCAGGGTACAAAGCTTAGAGTTAGGCTCGAGGCATTGCTGTGCAATTTCATAATAACCAGAAAAATTCTCAGCTCCTGGACTGAAGTGTAAGACGCTCTAATTTTACATCAGTGTAAATACACTGAAATTAAATGACCAGCACAGTGCAAAGGGATTCCCTGGTTGAAAACCTGACCGTGAGCTGCAGGATGAAAAGAAATGTTTATTTTCAGCCAGATAAAAACCCTTCAAAAAAAAAAAAAAGAGAAAGTAATTTGGATTGCCAAGCAAAATCTGACATCTGTAGTTCATACACACTGAACGTTACTTATCAACTATCATTCAAAGACAAATCCACAAACACAAACCGAAAACAACCTACTCATATTTTCTGGCATTTCTTAAAAGCTTTTAAAAGCATCTAGGTTAGGAAGGCTTCTGCTAATTATGCTGTATGTTTTCAGTGAACTTTTTCTTTGGGGATCATTTTAGGTCTACGTAAGTGTTGCAAAGATAGTACAGAGGATCCTATAAACGTTTCACCAATTGTCCCCAGAATGCGCTGCCAGCTTCCTTTTTAAAAGTCTGACCCAAAACACCTGCCTGGGTTTGGCGCACCGTTTACTAACTTCAGATAGGAAAGTTGCTTCCGCAGGATCCTGTGGTTACGGAGGCCTGTGACCCAAGGCGGGCGGTCAATAGCTATGCGGCCCTCAATGCCAGACATGTCCCCACAGAGCAAGGATGGCGAAGCCATGGCACAAAAGGCTATAGCCGGCTGTTTGTTACCACTGACAGCTCCAAAAGGTTCGCCATCACCGCTGTAGCATATGCAACAAGGAGGGGTACCACGCAAGGTAGCAAAACAGAGCCTAGGTCAGCGCTGCAGACGCCTGCAGCAGGGAAAGCCCTGGAAATACGCCCTCCGCTTCAGCGCAATTAGTGGCCGATGATAAAGATGTCATTATAAGTGTTCCTAATGTCCTATCAAGTGGCCCAACTCCCCTGGGCTCCCACTGAACCTGGCCTGTGCCACTGTATAAATAGACACTCCCGTGTAATTAAACCGATTACAACTGCTCAAGATGCATGGGTGAAAAGTTTTATAGAAGAATTAGCAATTACTGTGGTCATTTTAGATCGGCTGAAGTTGAGAGCATCATTTTTCCTTAAAAACATAACCGAGCGCCGTGGTCTCCGGATTCATCTACGGCTCTCACACCCGCAGTTCCAAGTGGCCACGCCTGTGGTCCGGTGGGATCAGACGTAAATGATCCCAAACTAGAGTGACAGACATTTCCACTCAGCAGCTCGACAATTAGGGCTTCGAACTCCATTTCCTTGGAGTGGCGCTGCTCAGCAAGGCCTGAGGCCGCCAGAGACACGCCGCACACTGCAACACACCGGAATCAATATGTTTCTGTACTGATAATTCTAGCACGCAGGATCTCCATTAATCACGCCCACTCCTTCAGCCCCTTCTCTCCGTATTTCTAAACAAGGTCTGGGGGAACTGTACCAAGGGTTCACCTGCTCTTGGCCGCGAATCTGCTGTTCTATCCCGGCTGTCATAAGAATTGGGCCCTAGATTCGCTCCTTGGTATATTCAGCGGCAGGTTCTCCACCGGGCACCGCCGAGGGCCCCACCGGGGAGAGGATTTCTCTACTGTTCTTTTCTGAGAGTCCAACTCGATTTCATTCACGCTCCATAGAGTGATAAGTTGGGAATTTCCGAGGGCTGGAGCAGAAAGATAATGCAGCTTCGTGTCAGGTGTGAGGTAATTATTTGCCAGGGTTTCTGTGCTATTTGTTTTTATTCCCCGCGTTTCCATTAACCGTTAATGAGTTTCCCCCTTAATTCTGAAACAAGAGCTTGGCCACTAGAAGTTGCCTTTTATTTTTTATTTTTTATTTTTTTTCTGCCACTGATTCAACCAGCTGTTGGTGCTCCATAAACTTTATGGAGACGTGAATTAAACTGCTAAAAACTTTCACTTACTAATTCAATTCCAAATAAAACAGGGGAACAAGGAGCCATAATGTTTCCCCTTGTAACTATTTTGATTCCCAATAAACTCACTGAGTCCTGAACTCGAAGGTACCAGTTAGGGACAGGGAGAGCGCACGGTGACAACGTCTCCCTCCCCCAAACAAGGGGGAAGTGAACAAAGACGGAAAGGAGCTTAAGCATTTTTTAAAAATCCACCAAATTTAAGGATGGCAAATAACAGATGAGATGTAAAGATGCATTTGTATTCAACATGTAAAGGCTCCATGGGTTTTTCTTGTCAGTTTCGGTCATCCTTTACTAGCCCTCTAGTTAATTGTGGGTTATATTACAGACACTATTCAAATCTGCAGCTAACTATTTACACGGCGCGGTTAGAAACTTTCTAAGGTTTGCTAGTCCTTTACGCTGTATCTCTGGATCCTAGAAGGAAAGTGAAACAAAGGTAAAATCACCTACGATTTTTCGTTTCTTGTTATTCTTACTGCTGCTGGGTGGGAACATGCCATTTCCTACCCTGTCTAATATTTAAGCGTGCATGGGCCTCAGAGTTCCCGCTTTAAACTAATAAATCCTCACTAAAATGCCGTAAATAAAGCTCCCTGATCCAAAGCCAGTTAGTTTTCATGCTTGCTGGCACTAATATTGCCAGATTTCCACGGACCAATTTAATTTACAGTTCCTAAAGCCGAACCACAGTAAGATCAGCAAGACAACAGCTTCTGACTCCTTTCTATACCCGTTCGCCTGAGCTATCGAGTCTCACCCCCAACGGGAGGAATGTGCGGGGTCCGGAGTAGATATGTCACCGAGCCTCTGTGCAACCCCCGAGTTACAGTTCTGTCCAGACTTCTGTTATAAACGACCCCGTCTGGCCTACGCTCACACATTAGAAAACGTACGGTGTCTCCCACGGAGCATCTGAGCGCCTTCGCTGATTTCTAAATATCCATTGGACGTGGGTGGCTGCTTCCTGTGATTTATCCGTGTAGACCGAAGGTCTCAAATTCCTCTCTGTTCTATAGAGTCTGACTTTCTGTCCATCTTTTTCCCCTCCTAGATCTATCCATAATTCAATATATAAATATTCTCCTTTCCCTAAGGCCTTGGCGGTGAGTGTAACGGTACCGGATGCCATTAATTCCGGAGAACAAATGACGGGCCAGGTAAAGAACGTTGCCATTTATCATTCTTTCAAAAAGTTGCTCCAGCCAGATCGCGAATGTGCAAGAGGCAAGCTGGGCTGAAGACCAAGCTCTGTATACAGCGTGGGATACTGTCTGCTGATTACACAGCGTGCTAAGAACACCAGAGTCCTTAAGAACCTTCAGAAATGACATTTACAGGGAGCGGAGGAGTCCCAGTGATCAGAAACGGAACCAAATTGATTAGGCTCTGAGAGCACAATCGCTGCGACACCACCTGTGAATTCAACTTCCAAAAGGCAGCGCGGCTTAATAATATTCTCAAATGAACTACATCTGTCACTGGTAGATTGGACAGAATAATACCCAGGGGAGCCCATTGAAAATGTCTTTTTCCTCCCTCCCTCCTTCAAGAAATTTGTCCTTTGTCATGCAGTTCTTCCTTTTGACCAGTAGGGTGAGCTGCAGCGTGTGGCATCACCTTAGCTTGTCAAAAAA